CTTGACAGCCGCCTGCTGAACAATTCTACCTAAAAAATACTAAATTGACTTTAAGAAAATATTTTTTTCCCCTCAAATATTCAGATACAAGGTAAATGCAGTTAGTCTTGTGCTTTGAGTTGTAGATACTGTAGATTCAGTTTACAGATGTTGGTATGAAGATTTGCTTTAAACAAGGATGCTTATATATACCCAGTGCTTCAACTGAGAATCTGTAGTATGGATTGTATTATGTACAGAAATTTGTACAGTGTTTCAGCCTTTGTTTTCAAAAATATTTTCTCTAAGAATACAGTCTAAAGAATTTGTTAGGGGTTAGCATAGCAATATGAGCACCCCAGGCACTCAGACTAGGAAGGAAAAAAGTTTCAATCAACATATGAGATTAAAGAATTTTATTAATGAACACCAGTATTTTTTCATCTTGGCAAGGATTCAGTGTGTCCTTTTGGAAATCTGTATTAAAATATTACACTGTTAACATTGTCATTTTGGACATACATTCATATCCAAAGCTGCTGATAGGGGACATGAGGTGGACCTTGCAGTAAGACCACTTTGCCTTGCAATCACCTGTAGCTATAATGTGTGCTATCAGAAAAAAAGTGTTTATTCTGTTTATGTTCAGCTTCTTTTTAGGAGAGTTGGAGAAGTGCCTTGAAGATCCAGAAAAGCTGGGATCCCTGTTTGTTAAGCATGTAGGTGCAAACCCCTATTCCTGCTACTGACCAACATGTTTGATTATTAACCATTTATCTGTGGTACAACACAGTTAAGAAAGTGCTGTAAAATATTCCTCACTGTAAGAGGTGGAGAGATAGGTTTTAAGTGCTTATAAATAGACTAAGTAAACAATCTAGTTTTTGTTCCCAATATCTTCCTGTGCAGAGGAAATATGAATGTGGGCCCTGTTTCTCAATTCGGTTTCAGTTCTGTGTGAGGAAATTGTAATTTCATGTGACCAGATAGACCTATCAATCTAATCCCTGGTATCCATGCAGTACCATGGAACATAGGAACCAAAAATAGGAAAGCAGCTCATTCTTCTTACTGGTTTCAGTGCATTCTAGTTCTGTATCTTTTCCCTTTCTGAGAATCACAGCAGTGGCTGAGATTCCTTCCTCTTCACTTGGGGAAGGAACTGAGAGTGCCAGAAATTCATGATGTTTAATCTTACTCCAACACAGTACCCTTTATAGCTTTATACAAGTCCCTGTTTTTCCACTTTTCATTTATTTATTGAAAGGAATGACCATGTGATACATATGGATATTATAACACTTCAGAAGGAAATCAGATGAACCTAGTTATCTAGAAACGAGATACCAAAATTCAGGACACATCAGACATGCCACTAATCAGTCATCGTGGTGTCTCTTTGTGTAGAAATACAATTTAATATCTGTTTGACATGAGGTCTCAAGGTAGTCCCAAATCATGCAAGACAGCAGAAGGGAAACTTGCCTGCTAAGTATGATCGTTTGCACAAGTGTCGAAGACTGAAGACAGACTGGATTAAAGCTGATTTAATGGGTTTCAGATTTTCCCTGCGGTCCGTGTTTGAAGTCAGTACCAGGGTAACAAAAGAGCACAGAACCAAACATTAATGGAATAGTAACACTGGAAGCCAGGCCTAGTTCCTGGACAAACTATGAGGAATGAGCTGTTTCATTTCTGAGGTGTTATTATTATTAAAAAAAAAAACCACCAAAACAAACCAAACAAAAAAAAAAACCAACAGGCATTGGAAGAGGGGAGAATTCTAGCACTGGTAAAATGGGAGACCTGAAGGGAGTGACTCTCCCTGGTTCTGATTGCTGTTTTACTTTCTCCTGGGGTATTTGTAACTGAGTTGTCTTTGAAAGGCACCCTTACCACTCCAGATGGAAAGGCAAGCTGTGATGCTATTACAACATCCTCTAGCAAAACCCTGACTGTCAGCTAGAACATGTCGATTCAATTCCTGCTCTTAATTTATGTTCTGTGTCCTTTTCAATCTCCATCTTATTTCTTCCTTTTTCGCTTTCCGTTTGTCTTCGCTGGTCAGTACTCCATAAGTCTCTGAGCAGCAAAGCCTCTAATGGGAGCCAATCCTAGCAAAATGATAAGGAAGATTTTGGAGTAGGCAATAGGCACGTATAGTATGTCTGTGTTTCTTAACCAGCAAGGATGGTAATCAAGAACGAATCTTAAAGGCTGAAGTTACGCTCACTCTCTTTTTCTGTGTTGCCTTGGTGTTAAAAGCACATGCTCAAAATACGGAATCAGAGTTAAAAAATACTAGCACCACAGTTTCCAGGCTACAACCACCATGTCCAGGCTCCATCACATACATCTCCATTCAAACCCCAGTAGCACAACTGATACAAAATAGAAGACTGAGAGGTTTCTCCTAACTGCTCTGTACAGCTAAACAGGAGGAGGCCATTATTCTAATATATTAGAATGATAATCAGATTATTAAAATCAAATAAAAAATACGGTATTTCAAAGGCTTCATCCATTGCTTTTGCAAAAAGAAAAAGTTAACCATTTTCCTACTTAATTTTATTGTGGGACCTGCTGAGCCATCATCTCTGAACACGTGTTGTTCAGGAGTATTTATAACTGTGGCAATTTTCTGACTTGTGTTGCCTTTCTAAAATCATTCATGATATTCCCAAATAAATGTGTTTTCAGGTCTGTAATTTCTGCATATGTAGCTGCTTCTTTTCCTCAAAAGGACCTTTTTAAGTTCATACTTTTTAACAGCTGTACCTCTTAAAATAATACTGTGTTTCAATCTGGCATTCTTTTTTCTTGATGATGTTGTATCATTCTGTATCTTTGTTCTTCCAGGAGAGAAGGTTGCACATGTACATAGTTTACTGCCAAAACAAACCAAAGTCTGAGCACATTGTTTCAGAATACATTGATACGTTTTTTGAGGTAAGTTTAAAAAAAAAAAAAAAAAAGCACATATCATTATTACTGTTTTAAATTATAATTTCTTGCCACTTTGGTTCCGATTTCTCAAGTCTGATACGGACTCCTAGAGATGTATTAACCTCTAGGGAAAAAAAACTAAAGTTTAGGTGTAAGATACTAATTAATCAGTGGAGTCTCATCCTTACTAGCCCTAGCCAAGGAAGTTAACAGTGCATATTATATGAAGTGGCAATTTTGGATGAGCAAAGAACACTGACAAAAATAGGCTACATACAACCTGTGATTGAAAAATTACATTTCACTATACGATCTTTTGAAAAAAAAAAAAAGGCATGGAAGATGCTTGGAGTGGGGAATGCTTTGGAAACAAAGCTGATACAGACAAGGGGAGAGACTCTAGCTTTTGATAACTGAAGATTAGGTCCTGCTCTGACTTTTGCCAATTCCTGCTCAATAGCCATTAATAGTGATATATCCTGCTGTGTTTCTAACTCAACAAAACAGAACGAAGTTGTTTCTGAGTAAATAAAAAAATTATTGTTTTACAACCCTCAAAATGTTTGTTCCACAACCCTCAGGATCTAAAGCAACGCCTGGGCCACAGACTTCAGCTCACGGACTTGCTAATAAAACCTGTGCAGAGAATTATGAAATACCAGCTGTTACTAAAGGTAAAGTGATGTTAGGATGAATGGTTTAATACATTAACGGATACGTTTTATTTTTTAAATGTCGCTAATGCTTTTCCACCCTCCTCCCAAACAGAACCCAGATTTGTAAGCAATGCAATATGATTAGTTTCTGAGCATATTCAGATAGTTATAAAAATTGAAGTAAATAGCTTGGGCAGAATTTTACTTTTTCTTTTTTTCTTTTTGTAACAGTTAAAGACCCAATTAATTCAAGTCAGGAAATGTTTAGAATTTGTACCAGTGTCATATGAAGGGGACAGGGATCTTCCAGCTGTTTTCAGATGTAAATGTGATATGAGTTGTTGGGACTCATCCCAACTTTTCCAACTACATCTGCAACCATTTTAATATCACATAAATGTTTACTGAAAAGCAACCCTGTGTGTCACGGAGGTCATTGCCTTAATACATGTTCTTGTATGATCTAAATAAAAAATGGTGAATAAATCTTAAAAAATAAGAGACGGAAAGCACTGCAGCAAGAAGCTTTAAAAAGAAAATTTTTCTATGTGTCTTCTGCACTCTGTCATTCTCTGACAGAGGATAGCAAATGCAGATTTTCTAGGATTTCTCGTTGCCGATTAATGAGAAAAGAACTCATATTACTGTCTTTTCCCTTTTCAGGACTTCCTCAAATATTCTAAAAAAGCTAACCTTGACACAACAGAACTAGAGGTACTTGAGACATTTTCTCTTAGTAATTTGAATGCTCTTTACTCTAAACTTCTACTTGTTTTGACATAGAGTTGCTTTCCTTTTCTGATCTTCTTGAGCATGTGATTATGATGTGTTTACTTTTCACATTTCTGTTCTAAAGCAACCATAGGAAATGAAACAAAATTTTATCCTGCTAACTCATTTGGAAAACAAAGCTTTGACTTTTTATTTGTCTTGAACAGAGAGCTGTAGAGGTCATGTGTATAGTACCAAAACGGTGTAATGACATGATGAATGTTGGCCGCCTGCAAGGATTTGATGTAAGTTGGCTGGGGGTTTGCTTAGAGTTTTTGTCAGGTTCTCCAGAAATTAACCATTAATGTTGTGGGCAGAGTTGCGGGGAGAATTGAGGTAGGGTGCTCTCTCACTATCTGGTTAGCTGGTGCAAAAAGCAGGGAATGAAAAATCAAGTCTTAGCCCTACCAAGAACTTCTTCCTGGGAAGCTTTACCTGTTGTGTCAGTCACACTAGGTAAGTGCTTCTGCAAAACCTAGGAAGCGCTGGTGTTACTACAGTTCCCTTACTGACTAACGACTTGCAAAATAGTGAAGTAATCAGTTATCAGCAGGCGAGCAGACCTGACTTCAGCAGTGTAGGCAAAGGATGAGTTGCTAAGGTCAGTAAAGTACCTGAGGCAACCCTTCTTGTTTTGCTAAGTCTAGAAGAGATGGAAATTGGCTATTGAAGCAGTATGCATCAGCCAGTCACGTGCTCTACTTGCAAAGCCCTTTCTGCTCTGTGATGCACGCATGAACTCGAATTCTTCCCCTTTTCAGCACCCTGGAAGACTTTAGGAGAAAATAAGCATTACTGTGTTGGAGTGGCAAGGAAGGAGTTATTGACACTAGAGAGATGAAAGCCTCAGTGTTATTAAGCCTCAAACTGCAGTATGAATTGAAAGGGGTGGGGTGGATTTGGGAGGGCTTTTTTCTTGATGATGTCTGTTTTTTGAGAAAGGAATGTCCTGAGTATAAAATGATCAATGGATATATAATGGTCAGTGACACTTAGAAATTGGGAAATATACAAAGCTATTTTGACATGAGCATCTGCTCAAAATGAAATTAAGAACTGCACTAACTGTGTTTCCACTTGCCTCTGTGTTTAGGGTAAAATTGTAGCCCAGGGTAAGCTCCTGCTCCAGGACACATTCTTGGTTACAGACCAGGACACAGGACTTCTGCCACGCTGCAAGGAGAGACGGGTCTTCCTGTTTGAGCAGATTGTCATTTTCAGTGAGCTGCTAGATAAAAAGAAAGGTTTCTCCATGCCCGGATTCTTGTTTAAAAACAGTATCAAGGTAACTGTTGTGTGTGAGTCTATGCATCCCCTGCACAAACTCCGCTAAGGTAACAGTTTCTGATTCAGTGTGGAGTCACTAGTGACATCTAAATATGCAATCATAGCGCACAGTGAGGTCTCAGTCATTTCCTGAAATTACTTCCTACCAAATGTGTGCTCACTCTGTTGATAAATGGAAATCTTTGGATCCCATCACTCTGATGCTTCCCGCATGAAGCATACCAAAACTGGCGTTCTTGTACAAAACTGGACAAGCATTCACAGAGAGTATAGTCTTCAGCTCTGTGCATACCACATTGCAAAGGCATTACAAATACAGATAATAACTGTTTATGTATCCTTTCTTTTGAGTTTCAGCTGAAATCAGTCCAAATGTGTAGGTAACATCTGTAGGTAGCGCCACCTTCTTAGACATGTCAGCTTTTCTACAAGCAAATCCCTCAAACAAGTGTTTGCTCCCACTTCAAGCCTTCTCTGAAACAAAAACTGTTGATATTAGCACCCACCAGCCCTTCTGGTGAAGCATTTTGTGTGGACCCTGCTTCTGTTAATTCGCGTCGGTGTTCTGTCTGCCAGCTGAGCATCCTGTTCAGTGCTGGCTGGACAGCCCGTTGCAAGGCATTGCTGTCTCTGCAGCAGAAGCCTTCAGTGTGGGCCAGCGGTAGAGCTCCACAGCAGCTCCACATTTTAAATAACACAAAGGGAGAGTGAGAGACAATGGAGAACATTAGGCCATACTGACCAGTTGGAGATCGTTCAGGCACAGCATGTCAGTAAGCTGTACACTAATCCTTAGTTCACTGTAGTCCTTCATTTCATGGAATTATTTTACTGAAGAAAAGGATGGTCATCATTTGAAGATCTGACTCTGAGCTCCTAAGTAAGAAGATATTTTAGAACTATGTTTCTCATAAAATACATGAAGGAAATTCTCTTTTTTGTTCTTCCCTGCCCTTCCCCCC